AGGTTTCAGTTACAGTTGATCAAGTTTGCTTCTAATTGAGGACACCTTTAGGGAGGTGTCTGCAGAAGCCAAGCAAAGGCACTTGTGAGCCTGTTGGGATGCAGGACAACTGGCAAATTCTAATCACAGCATCTCAAGTGCCACCAAGAGACCCAGGCTTGAGGTCTTCTTTGCCATACCTGGGGCAAGGCGGCCTGCATTTTCCCAAGGAACACAGCCTTTTCACTGCTTGCTCTGTAGATGCCACTCTCTGGTGACAGCATGCCACATGCCCATAATCTCAGCACCCCTACTTCTGGGCACCTCCAGGACCTAGAAGTTCTGCCCTCCAAGGGAATTGGGTGGGTGAAGGTGGTTCTTTTGGCCAAGAGCCTGTGATTTTCCACATTTTTCTATTTACCACGGTCCTGAGAACACTGTGGGGCTATGGGCGTGGCAGAAGTAGGGGCAGAGGAGTCTCATGAGGAACCTAAGCCTGCCCCCAGACAGTTGTCAGGGAGGAAGGGGAGACTGCCTACATACCAGGTGTTCCAAAGAGCTCCAGGGGTCTTGGTGGCCCTCAAGCCGAGCATGAATTAGTAACTGTGACTTGAAATGGAAGCTGGCCTCGAATCTTATCCTGTGACCTAGACTTTGGAAGTTACTGTTTGTACTAAGGATTATAATAGCTACATTTATTGCACGCATACTATGTGCCAGTCTCCGTGCTAAGTGGTTTACATGGATTAACTTGTTAACAATTGTAAATCCGTCAACGCTTTGAGGTGGGAACAGTGATTATCCTTATTTTGTTTTGTTTCCTTTTTTCCTATTTCCCACTTCAGAGATGAGCAAATGAGACACAGGTTAGCACCTTCTTTTATGGGATGCTTTCCACTGGGTCATCTGTCTTCCAGGAGCCACTTCCCTCTACTGTCCCTACCCTACCAGGGAACAGATATCACCCCCCTTTCACAGAGGAGGCCCCTGCTCTCCAAGGAAACCCTGAACTAGCCTTTTCCTTAGACAGTCCCAGCTCAGCAACTGGTACTGCAGTTTGACCAGGGAGGCACCCCCATGTGGCCGTGAATCCAGTGGTGAAACGCGGTGTGTATGTGGCTACATGTTGTTGTCCACCAACGGTGTAGTATCTTCACCCCAAGTAGCTACACAGGGTACAAGTTCCTGCCTGGGCCTAGCAGGAGACACCTAGGGGGCTTGTTAGCTTTGGCAGCAACCCAAAGAGTGAGAACAGTACTCTCCCCATTCAATAGACAAGGGACACAGCTCAGAGAGGTCAAGCGACTTGTCCAAGGCCACACAAGAAGTCAGAGACAGAGCCAGGTCTCCTGACTCCAAATCCTGGGCTCTCCTCCACAGGGCACAGCCTGTCCTGGGTGCAATGCCAGGTGATAAACGTGCCCCATGAGCACCACACTGGCATTTGCAGCCACCCTGTAATGGATTGACACAGCACTTGGTGTATTTTAAGAGGCGAGGCCCTCCTAGCTTGTGAGTGTTTCCTTTGTAGTTATTGTTTCTTTCTAGGCACTGATTAGGGAGCTAGCGTTTTACAGGCTTTGCCTCCTTTCAGGGAGCAGGTACTCTGCCACACCCACTGGGCAGGCCCCTGAGCAGGCCTGGCGGAGGAGCTGAGTGAGGAGCTGAGCGCCTCTCGCCTCTCGGCTGCATCTGATCACAGCACTGCAGGCTTTTCCGGCCCTCACCCCCTCCTCTCCCCTGGTGCCAGGTCACAGGTGGGGCCACTAAGGCACTGCAGGTGCTCTAGCTCTCACGGAAACTGCTGTTCCATCTGGAGCCCTTCAGGGCCATGGACTGGAGCTGACCCCCGCAGGGTAGTCCAGCAGGCCGTCTGGGGAAGGAGCCCTGCTTCCAGGATTGGCAGACAGGGAGCCCTGGGGTGCAGATGGGAGACCGAGGCTTCTTCTGGGGGGGTGGGGCCTATTGCCACCGAGTAATTTCAGACTTACGGTGACCTCGTGTGTTACAGAGCAGAACTGAAGCCACATCTTTCTCCCATGGAGCAGCTGGTGGGTTCAAACCACTGACCTTTCAGTTAGCAACCAAGCACTTAACCACTGCACCACCAGTGCTCCTCAAACTGGTGGTGAGGGGAGGGCAATCGAGGGAGGGAACAAAGTGAGCAAATGCCTGGAGGTAGGAAAGGGAGGAGTGACGGGAGAGGGGTCCTTGATGCCAAAGACAAAGCAAGGTCTGATTTTAGGGGACTAGGCTGTAGGCAGTGGGGAGCCATTGAACGTGGTTGAGCTGAGGAGTGACTTCCTAAAGATTATTGTGGGGCTGTACAAGTATTGGAGACAAGGAAAGGCTGCTCTGGCAGCTTCTCCTTGTGCACCCTCAGGAACCCCATGTCCAGGCCTGGGACGTGACCCCCATACCTCTGCTTCTCCCTGGTCCTGCCCCGCTCACATCCCTTCCCACTTGAATCCTAACCACTGTTCTCTCACTAACTTTGTTTTTCAAAGTGTGGTCCCAATGCCCCCCCACTTCACACACATGTATGTGTATACACCATCATCAGAATCACCAAG